TCTTTATAAGGGTGTGGAAATCTCCCTTTAGCAGACGGGTTTTAAAAACCTTGAGGGAAAGCGCGAAAGGGAAAGCCCAAAGAGGACAATATCTACTAGTAGTGGGCTTGGGGTGCTACAAATGGTATTAGAGCTAGACATCAGGCGATGTGCCAACGATGAGGCTAAACCTTGAAGGGGGCGGACATGAGGCGGTGTGCGAGCAAGGACGCTGAGTTTCAAAAGGGGGTGGATTGGGGGGTCCTACATCGATTGGAGAAGGAAACGAGTGCCAACGAGGACACTGAGCCTCGAAGGAGGGTGAATTGTGAGATCCCACATCAGTTAGGGGAGAACGAAACATTCTTTATAAGGGTGTGGAAACCTCTCTTTAGCAGACGAGTTTTAAAAACCTTGAGGGAAAGTTCGAAAAGGAAAGCCCAAAGAGGACAATATCTGCTAGCAGTAGACTCGGGGCATTACAAATGGTATCAGAGCTAGACACTGGGCGATTGCTAGCGAGGAGGCTGAACCTCGAAGGGAGATGGACATGAGGCGGTGTGCTAGCAAGGAAGCTGGGTGCCGAAGGGGGATGGTTTGGGGGGGGGGGTCCCACATCGATTGGAGAAGGGAACGAGTACCAGCAAGATCCCACATCAGTTAAGGAGTAGAACGAAACATTCTTTATAAAGGTGTGGAAACCTCTCCCTAATAGACGCGTTGTTACGCTAACTGAGATTAGACCAAGTCATTTGGTAAGTTTATGAGTTTTGTGTCATTCAATCATTTATGATATACTGAATGCGTATTCTTAGTAATGTATTTGTATCATGTTCATTACAATTCCTTTCTGAAGAGAAAAAAAGACAACATTAGCAGCTTATTCTTCAGCGTCGTCCTCTGTTCTTAATCATAATAATTCAACCCGACATAAATTCTTGAGTTCGTTATCTTTTAATACAATCGATCTCGTTATCGAAAGATGAATTACTGTTAATTACCTTTGGTTATAATGCAGCTCTGGCATTTATTCTCTATGCTTGGAGAGCAGTCTTTTTTGAGCTTGGTAATTGGAGAAAGGCTGTTCTTTGCATCTTCAATTTTGTGGGATACATATTAAAAGGTGCCTTAGCTCTCATCCTCTATGTTATTGGAGATCCCATCACTTCTATGATAAGAGGAATCGAGACGACATTCTACACGATTCGATCTTTCTACTCGAGCGTAGTTGCATACGCACCCGTTCCTGAGCTAACCACACTAATCATCCTAGCCTCAACCGTGGTTGCAATCTCAGAAGCTAGTGTCCCTGATTCCGTAAGTACTCAACCATATCTTCTAACACTATCAGGGCTTGCTGGCTACACAGCCGTGCGAGCGTACATTTCCGAGCCATTCTTCTGGACATTTCTGTTGGGAGTATACAGTTTCTCGAAGTTCGTCAAGAAGAGAGACGACGTAACATCTGCGTTGCCTGCTGCTGCTGTGTTTGCTGCCATTGGTGAGCCGTGGGTTAGGATTTTGGCTATGGGTTCGTTTATGGGTTTGGCTATTTGGCACCATTGGAAGAAGGTTTCACAAGGAAAGGAAAGGGAAGAGGGTATGTATGAGAGGGATGTTCCGGTGCCTCTTTTGGGTGCGGCTTTGGCTATTGGGATCCATGCGGCGGCCAAATGGGCTGGTTATAGGCACTTGACATGGATGATTGTATGAATATAAACACTAGCTTTTGATTTGAGAGATGATTTTAGAAGACAGGAATCCTCTTATTTATCATTTGATTTATATTTTGAATTTTTAGTCTTTTGTTTTATAACCACAAATTCATACATTAATTTAGCATTAATTTTTACCTTGTTGTCACTTATGCGAAGTTGAGTCGAGTCGGATGGTTCGAATCCTCGATACAGGTTGGTGGATCAGGTCAACAGGTTCAGTTTGTCTCGTGGGTCGGAGTGGCTTCGTGTTGCCTCCAAGATCACCGCGTTGCACCACCTGCAGAGTGACACAATCGCACTTTTGAAGGCAGCGGACTAGCGATTGTGCGGCACTCACTTTCCAACGACAAGTGAGTTAAGCCAATTTGTTCTTGTGTCGCCTATGGCCAAGCGACGTATGATTGAGCCTCTAGCCTCGATTTTAAAAGAAGGTTTTAGAAAACGAGGTCAGGGAGATTTTTGAAAGAAACGTTATATAAGCAAGAGAGAAATAACGACGACTTACAATATATAACCTTGGGTAATGAGAAGTTCACAACTAGTCATATCCCCCTATAGTACATTCTGAGACATTTCATGTCTGGCAGGCTTAAATATGATATTTTTGAGGCGTCATACGCCCTAGAACTACAAAAGTAAAAACACTAGAATGAAAAGACATGACAAGTGTTTGGCTTGTCATGGGCATGCGGCCATGGGCAACACGTCCTGGACGAGCATGACCGTGACATCCTCCCCCACCTAATTGGTTGACGTCCCTGTCAACTGACTACTTTCAAACCTTGCAATGTGGGTGGCGGCGAAGTTCAGGTCTTCGGCGCGTTCCCAACTGGTTTCCTCTGTAGGGAGATTCTTTCATTTGACAAGGAATTCACGAATCGTCCGTACAGGTCTTCCTATCTTCCTAACCTTGTCGGCTAGGATCTCTTCTACTTCTTTGGTTTCTTTTTGTTCCAGATCGATGCTCGGTCTCGTGATTGCATTTCGTTGGTCGTCGTCTGAGTCAGGGTGGTAGGGCTTCAAGTTGCTCACATGAATTACTGGGTGGATTTTCATCCATGCGGGTAATGCAACTCGGTAGGAGGTAGCCCCGATCTTTTTAAGGACTTCAACCGGACCTTCATATTTTTGAACTAGTCTCTGGTTCTTTCTGCTGCGAAATTTGATCTATTCTGGTTTCAGTTTGATGAGAACTTGATCTCCTGTTCGGAATTTAAGGGGGCGACGCTTCTTGTCCGTCCACTTTTTCATATGCTTGGAAGCCTTCTCTAAATATGTCTGGGCTATATCTGTTGTCTGCTTTCATTCTCTTGTGAAGTTTTGAGCTTAAAGGTTTTTTCTTGCATAAGGATGATCAATAATATGGGGTAAGGCCGGTTGTCGTCCACTTACAATTTCGAAGGGACTCTTTCTCGTAGATGAGCTTGTTTGACAATTGAAGCAAAATTGAGCGACATCTAATAGTTGTATCCAGTTCTTCTGGCGAGCGTCGACGAAGTGACGTAAGTATTCTTCGAGCAAGCAATTGAACCGTTCTGTCTGTCCATCGGTTTGAGGGTGATAACTCGAGGAGATGTTTAAGGTTGTTCCCAAGAAGGCGAATAACTCAGTCCAGAATGTCCCAATGAATCTGCCATCCTATCACTGATGATGCTCGACGGAATGCCCCATAACTTTACAACGTGTTTGAAAAATAGTTGGGCTGTGAGTTCAGCCGAGCATAATTTGGGAGTGGGGACGAACGTCACATATTTTGAAAATTGGTCTACGATAACCAAGATGGCGTCATATTCCCCGACTTTTGGGAGGTGTGTTACGAAGTCCAGAGACACACTTTCCCAAGGTCTTGTTGGCACAGGCAGAGGTTCCAAGAGTTCTGAGACTTTGACTTTCTCGACTTTGTCCTGTTGATAGATGAGACACGTCTTGGTGTATTGCATGATGTCGTCTCGCATGTTTGGCCAGAAGAACCCCTTTTTTATTAGGGCGTATGTTATTTACCACCCAGGGTGTCCAGCCCATAACGTATCATGACATTCCTGAATGAGCTTCTTTCTCAGTTCTCCCATTCTTGGGACATACAATCTGTTTCTTTTCGTCATCAGGAGGTCTCCCTCAACCCAAAACTGTCGTGTTTTCCCAGCTTTAGCTAGTTCGACGACGGATTTGGCCAATGGGTCTTTATGTAAATGTTCTTTGATGATGTCGCACATCGATCCATCGATCTTACTTGTATGAATATGGGCTAACATGCATAGGGCTACATGTTCGCCCTTCCGACTCAGTGCGTCGGCTGCTTGATTACTCTTTCCTGTTTTGTGTTCGAACTTGAAGTCGAATTCGGCCAACGACTCCTGCCACCGGGCTTGTTTTGCCGTCAATTTTGGTTGATCGAAGAAGTGGCAAATGACGCTGTTATCCGTCTTCACTACGAATTGCGATCCCAAGAGATACTGTCTCCAGACTCGTAGGCAATGGACTACAACCAGCATTTCTTTCGACTTTCGTAAGCGATGGGGTGACCTTCTTGAATAAGGACCCCACCTAGGGCAAAGTCGGAAGCATCTGTTTCTATTTCAAATGGCTTTGTAACATCTACCAACCCGAGGACAGGACCCCTCATCATGGTTGTTTTCAGATCTTCAAAGGCCATTTGACAATTATTTGACCACGACCAAGGGTGGTCTTTCTTCAATAGCTCTGTCAATGGGGCGGCTTGTCGTGAAAACCCTTCGACGAACCGTCTATAGTAGTTGGCTAATCCTAAGAAGGACTGCACATCGGATATGTTAGTAGGAACTTTCTATTTTTGGATAGCTTTTATCTTATTGCTATCCATACTAATCTGTCCACATTTGACGACATGTCCAAGGAAGTTGATGCATGTTTGTGTGAAGGCACATTTTTCTTTCTTAACATACAGTTGGTTTTGCCGTAGCTTGTCAAACACCAGCTTCAAGTGCACTTTGTGTTTCTCTAGGGTTGTGCTGTAAACAACTATGTCGTCGAGGTATACTATGACGAACTGATCCAAGTATTCGTAGACAACTTGGTTCATCAACGTGCAGAAAGTAGCTGGGGCGTTTGTCAAGCCAAAGGGCATTACTAGGAATTCGAAGGCCTCATATCTTGTTACACACGTTGTCTTGGGCTCGTCCCCCTCGGCAATACGTACTTGGTAATACCCTGACCGTAAGTCCAACTTCGTGAAGTATTTGGCCCCGTAAAGTTGGTCGAACAAGTCGGATATTATCGGCAGTGGATATTTGTTGCGTACTGTCACCTTGTTTAAGGCTCTATAGTCTATGCACAAACGCAACGTCCCATCCTTCTTCTTCTGGAATAGTACGGGGGCTCATCCTGTTGTTTCCTCAATTCGGCTAGCTCGGGTGGAGCCATCCAGTATGTGTTCTTCGCTGGCGGCTTAACCCTGGGGAGGAGTTTGATTTCGTGATCAATGCCTCGACGAGGTGGTAATGTTTGGGGTAAGCTCTCTGGCATTATGTCGACATAGCTATTTAGTACCTCCTTGATTTCATTTGGGATAGTTTCTTCGGTGGTCGCTTCTTCCATCAATGGTATGGCCATAAATGTAGGTTCCTCTCGTGCGAGTCCTCTTTTCAATGGTATGGCCGAGATCATTCGAAGATTACCTGGTTGCTTGATACTTTCAGGTATTACTGTGGGGTTGCGGTCGGTGATCACCAAGCATTTTGCCAGTGGCATTGGGATAACTTTGTGTTCTAGGAGGAACTCCATCCCAAGTATCACGTCGTCCATGCGAACTACGACAAGGTCTAGCTCTCCTGTCCAATCCCCTATTTTGAAGGGGACTCTTTTAGAAACTCCCACAATAGGCAAGGCCTCAGAGTTGACAACTTTCATTTTCCCATGGTCCTTTCCTATGGTGAGTCCCAATCTTCGGGCTTCTTGATCGACGATGAAGTTGTGGGTCGCTCCTGAATCTATCAGAGTGCTCTTGCTCAGTCGAGAATTTATTGTCGCATCTACGAACATGAGCCCTTTCTCTATTATCTCCTTCGGTTCGACCTTTCGTTGGAGGGCTGACAAGAATTTGAGCGCGCCCATTCGGGGGTTGTCTTGATCTTCCTTCTTGTCTAGCATAGTCTCGACCATTGCATCATTGCTCTCTTGAATGGACACTTGGAGCGTAGTGAGAGAGGCCCGATGAGGACAGTAGGATACTTTGTGGGAACCTTTACACAATATGCATTGTAAAGGCGTCGTCGGGTGGTTCCTTTGATGGTAAGGTCCTCGGAATGTCCCCGCTTGGTTGTTATGAGGAGGTCTATCCGTCCATCTGCTTGGTCTGTCATTACCTACGTTCGGTCTGTTGGGGCTTCCATTTCGATGACCTCGTGGCTTGTATGTTTTACCCCCAGTGTTTGGGGCCGGTGTCGTTCTTCTTTGGGATCCTGCTTCGTTCCCTTAGTCTAGGAGTCTCTCGGCGCAGGCTATTGCGACAGCTAGGGTTTGGACCTTGTTCTCATGTAGCTTTGTTTTGGCCCACGACTGTAACCCATTTATAAAGAAGAACACCTTGTCCTTCTCTGATGTGCCCCTGATATCTAGCATCAGGGTTGAGAACTATCTGACATAGTCCCGTATGCCTCTAGTATGTTTCAGGGCTACTAGTTTCTCCATTGCCATATGTCCTACATTTTCGGGGACAATTGGTCCCTCAACTCTTTCTTGAGGTCTTCCCACGAGTCGATGGTGCACAATCCATCCTCAATGTCTTGCACCTTCGTATGCCACCAAAGTTTGGCGTCGTCTATGAGATACATCGAGGCTATGGTCACCTTCTTGTCGTCGATACAAGCCGTTGTGGCTTTGAAGTACTGTTCTACATGAAAGATGAATTTTTCCAACTCCTTGGCGTCCCGATTCCCTTTGAAGGCTTTAGGGTCTGGGAATCTCAGTTTGTTGGATCCTGCATTAGTTTGCCCAGCCGTGATGTTCTCCACGGCTTTCATGGTCACTTCAATTCGAGTGCTCATGGTGGCCATCCTTTCTTGGATGTCGTCGATTGTTGTTATGAATTCATCAGCTAATCCATTGAACAACTCATTATTGTATTTTGTAGCACGTCGAACTCTTCGTCACGTCCCTCTTTGTGCGCGACAGAGCTATCCGGACTACTAGACAGTTTTTTGGGCTGCTCGTAGGAGCAACTCTTTCTTCGAGCGAGGTCACTCGAAACATCAGTTCTGCGATTGACATCCCATCCAGGCAGTTACCCATTGCGTCGATTTCTACGACTTTCCCACTCAATTCGGTCACCCGTGCTTCCAGGAAGCGGAGGGTGTCAGGGACTTCTTCGAGGAACATCATTTCCTCCTCTATTAGCGTAAGCCGGTTGCTTTGGGTGTCGAATTTGTCGCCGACATGTTTTCGATTTTTACTATGTCACGGAGCTAACAAAGCTCTGATACCACTTGACATAATCGCACTTTTGAATGCAGTGGACTAGCGATTGTGCGGCACTCACTTTCCAATGACAAGTGAGCTAAGCCAATTTGTTCTTGCGTCGCCTACGGCCAAGCGACGTATGATCGAGCCTCTAGCCTCGGTTTTAAAATAAGGTTTTAGAAAACGAGGGCAGAGAGAGATTTTTGAAAGAGACGTTATATAAGCAAGCAAGAGAGAAATAACAACGGCTTACAATTAGGTAGGGAGAAGTTGACAACTAGTCATATCCCCCTATAGTACATTCTGAGGCATTTCATGCCTGGCAGACCTAGACACGATATTTTTGAGGCGTTATACGCTCTAGAACTACAAAAGTAAAAATACTAGAATGAAAAGACATGACAAGGGTTTGACTTGTCATGGGCATGCAGCCATGGGCAACACGCCCTGGACGAGCATGACCATGACACCGAGCAACATGTGTTAAGAATATAGAATGACTAAGAAATGTTTAAAAGAAATGAAAGTTACTACCTCACTTATAAGGTGCACCTTCCTTCTCGAGTGTCACATGCCCATTAGCTTCTGCCTTGGTTCATCCTTGAACCACATCTTATAGGGAGTGATATTGCTCTGATACCATTTGTAACAACCCATCCCCAGCATCCTAATATAAATTATGAATCTTAGTCATTACAAGTGGTATCAAAGCGATACCTCTCCTAGTAAGATGTAGTTCGGGGACGAACTCAGGCATAAACTGGTTGGTATGTGACATTCCAGTAAAAGGGATACACGAACGAACTAAAACCACATCTAAATGAGAGTGATTATGAGAATAGAACCGTTACTCCATGACTAAACACGCTTTCCTTGGAAGTCATTGTGTCATAATTACAGATCTTTGTCATTTGCCAATTGAAATAATGACCCTTAGTTAAGGCCAAGTCACACTTGCTTTCTTCTTTTTCCAAAGAATAAAAGTCACAAATATATCCATTTAATAAAAAAAAAAAAAACAAACAAGTCATTTTAGGATTCATATTAATTTAAAAATTTATATTGATTTTTCCTTAAAATAAAATGACTTTTAAATTAAAACATACATTAATTAAAAAATAATTTAAATTAATAAAAGTACCCTTAAAATAAATTGGGTACTCGGTCAAAAATGCCCCTAACTTAAAAAAAAATCTATTAATACTCTTCGATTTAAACTACCGTGTATTAAAAATATTTAATAAATATGATGCAAGTAATAACAATTAATTATAAGAGAATTAAAATTTAAATTAATTAATAAAAACAAAATGAGAAAAGGTCTCCCCATTATTATTATTTTGAAGACCTAAGTTGTAAGGTTATTTTCCAAGGAAATTAAAAATTAATTATTATTATTTTCTTTTGTTGACACTTTCAAATAATGGGTTCTTTTTTTCCACAAGTTTCAATCAAACTTTGGTGTATAAATACCATTCCATATCATTTCATATGCCTTAATATCAACCAATGTCTTCTCTTTCGAGGCTTCTCTTCCTCGCCTTTTGCTTTTCTCGGCTATTCTTCAGCTCAAATTTCGAATACGATGATAGAAAAGTAACTTTAATTTTTTCTCTAAATTTCCATTTCCATTGTATTTTTCATTTAATATGTCGTTTTTCGATTTGCAGACATATATTGTGTATATGGGAAGTCATCCGAAAGACCGAGCTTCGACTCGATCTCATCATGTGAGAATGCTACAGGAAACTATCGGCAGGTGATTGTTTAGATTAAGTTATGAGTCCAATCTATGAACGATTATGTTTGTGTCAAATAGTTTTTACTTTTCATTTGTGTTAATAGTTTTTTTAGATCGAATTTATTAGACATAAATTTTTTAAAATTTAAATACCTATGGTCGAGAAATATACTAACTAAGCAAAATAAAACTTTATTTTAGTAGTTTTGCTCCACATTCTTTACTCCATAGCTACGAGAGAAGTTTCAATGGCTTTGTTGCGAAGCTGACTGAAGTCGAAGTGCAAAAAGTTTCAGGTACGCTTGTAAAGAACCTAAGATTAGGTTCTTTTTTTTCTTCGAAGATCGAGAGAGTGAAAACATTTACGGCGAGCTAAGAACATAATGTAAAATGTTTGAATGCAATGGTTGAATATTTTCGGGTCTTGGAAACATCCCTAAAATATACCATTTTAATTCTCTCCCAAAAAAATAATATATATATATTTTTAATTTTAGAAATGAAGGGGGTAATATCGGTTTTTCCAAATGGAAAAAAACAACTCCACACTACAAGATCATGGGACTTCATGGGACTGTCCCAACAAGTCAGCCGAGTTCCATCAGTGGAAAGTGACATCATTGTTGGAGTACTAGATACAGGGATTTGGCCGGAATCGCCTAGTTTCCTCGACCAAGGATATGGACCGCCACCGCGTAAGTGGAAGGGTAGTTGTGAAGTCTCAACCAATTTCTCTTGTAACAAGTACGTTCATATATTCTATGATTTTTTCATAGCAATTTAGGATTCAACATTTAATTTATAAGAACATAAGTCCTAATATTATATCCTCTATGCAGTAAAATCATTGGAGCTTGATCATATCGTACCAATGGTCAATATCCTATATACGAAATCCAAGGTCCAAGAGATTCAAATGGCCATGGGACGCATGTGGCATCAACAGTAGCAGGCGGGTTGGTTAGGCAAGCAAGTATGCTTGGTCTTGGCTCTGGCACAGCAAGGGGAGGAGTCCCATCTGCACGAATCTCTTCCTACAAAATATGTTGGTCTGATGGTTGCTTTGAAGCTGATATTCTTGCTGCATTTGATGATGCCATTGCTGATGGGGTTGATATCATCTCTTTCTCGGTCGGAGGACTCACATCAAAAGATTACTTTAAGGACTCCATGGCCATCGGAGCATTCCATGCAATGAAAAATGGAATCCTTACGTCAATGTCTGCCGGCAACGATGGTCCAAAATCTTTCACTATTAGAAACTTCTCACCTTGGTCTTTATCAGTAGCAGCTAGTACTACCGATAGAAAATTTTTAACTGAAGTTCAACTTGGAGATGGAAGAAGCTTCGAAGTAAGTTCATCTATTACTAATTTGACTTTATCATACATTAAATAATAAGTTAAGAAGGCAATTTGTTAAATATATATACATTTCATTTGGATGCAGGGAGTCGCAATTAATACATTTGATTTAAATGGAACACAATATCCATTGGTGTATTCCGGAAATATTCCTAATGTTGGCTTTAATGGATCTATCTCCCGGTACTTGTTTAAAACCTAAGCTTATAAATACTATTTTTATCGTTTAATTTTCTTGTTTTGTTATATGCTTTTAAAAAAATTAAATTATGTTCGAGTTGAGTTTTTGGGTACTATTTTTTTAACCACGAAGATAAACTAAGTTAGACTCGAGTTGAGTTGAGTTGCTATTTTTGTGACTATAAATGGAAAATTAAGATTTTTTTTTTTTTTTGTGAAATAGATTTTGTCAGACAAACTCGGTGGATAAGAAGTCGGTGAAGGGTAAAATCGTCCTTTGTGATCATTTCGTATGGCCGAAAAAGACGATATTTTTAGAAGGTGCAATCGGAATTATAATGCAAGACAATCGTCCAAAGGATCTGACATTCCCTTTCCCTTTACCTGCCTCCCATCTCGGCACACAACAAGGAGCTCTC